TTAGAGGTTACATATTCAACCATTTTGACCCGAGTTGTAAATTTTTGACTCGGTTGAACCGTTTTGACACGGGTGACCCGGTTTACTATAACCCGGTTCTAAGCTCTAGTTTCCTAATTTACGATAAAATTCGTTAAAATCAAGGCGAACACTAAGAAATCTCAGATCTGTATCATGATGAGTAGCCAGATCATTTAGTAAGTTAACTACTTCGCGCTATAAATAGAAGGGTATGTATAAGCAAACAAGTATTATGTGGACAAACTAACAGATTAAAAATAAAATTACTTTGAAAAGACCAGCAACTTCAGTTAAATGTTCTTGAATCATTCTATGATTTTCTCTGTTGCTATTGTCCTTGCGTAAAATTTCTTTCAAGCTGAAATTATGCAATTCATCCTATATTCATTAATCATAGTTAAGTGATTTATATATATATAAAAAAATGATGGATCGAAAAAAAATAACTTTACCAAACCATTTTTGTACTGTAATATAAATTGAATTATGTTTAATAACCTAGACAAGTAATTCTTACAAAAAAGAGAACATTTTTTTTTTAATACGATGCTTTTTTAGAATAAATAAGTAAAATTCTCAAACAAAATAATCGACAAATTACTTGATTATTTGAGGTACCCAAAAAGACTTTTGTAGTGACATTTGTTAAATATTTATTATGAGCTTCGATAAGTGAATCCAGGTCTCCTGACTTTGTACAGTCTTTAACAAGTTCATCCCATGAACATTCAATAACCTAAATATTTATAATAATCAATTTTGGTAATAATTCTTATTGTGAAAGCAGTTAATGATTAATTAATACCTCAAACAAAATGTAATATTGCAATTGGCATGTAAAATGTATCATTTCGCTGCAAACTAATCTACTTGTATTTATATCTTTTTTCAATTCTAATAACAATAATTACTATTAAGCGAAACCGTAAATATTAAAACACGTGAATTCATAGCATTCAAACCTTCGATTTGGGATAAGTTTCTTGCGCTAGCCATATTACGGCGCCAAGCGGACGACATATCATGTTCGACTCGCTTTAAACGCCATAAGAAATTGAATAGTTGAAGATATTGCTGCATCGCATGTGGCGTAAAAATAGTATTTATAGGCGAATCAACATGATAATCCAAACTGAAAACGTCCCAACCAGCTTCCCCAAAAGACGACTGCGTAAAAAAATCGTGATTAAAAAGTTTCCTAAAGGTAATCTCTATGAATTTATGTTAAGCGTTCGTACCTCAAGGAGTCTAACGTCCAATCGACGAAGGATGTCAGGGTCATCATATTGTGCATTTGATGCACGGATAGCTGCTTCCAAAGTACCAGTAAGATTATGACGATAGAGTGTATTCGCAGGTTTTGAAAGGCCTGGTCTAATTATTCAAATTTGGACTGAATAATAAAAAGAAAAAAAAAGCAACTACAGGTAATAAGTATTAAAACTTACCCAAGTTGGGCCATTAAATGTTGTATAAAATCACCTTGACCGAGTAATAAGTAGCGCTTCAAGGCAGTAAAGTGTTCTTTAAGTTTATATTTCGTGAATAAAATATTAAGAAGTCGCTGACTTGTAGCAGTATAAGTTGCGTCTATAGAACTTTCTAACGCTATAATATCACCATATTTCAACACTGAAAATAAAATAGTGTTAAAAATAATAATTGAGTAAGGCTCAGAACTTCTTTAAACGTTTCAACGCTTGCCCTTATCAGCTCCTGCATTTGTGACTACCCAATCACTGTCATGGCAACTATATCTAATAAAGTTGAGTGATTTTCCTAAGGCAAATATCTGCTCAAAAAGATATGTGTCAATTATTGCAGTAGTCTTTTCTGATCTTAATTAATGATAGAAATCATACAAACTTTTTTGGCAAGTAAAGAACTAATGAAAGTTGGTTGCATATCTGGTCGAATAGTATATTTTGACTGCCACAGATCTTCTTCTTCAACATTTGGATCACAAGCAACAAAAAATTCTTCGAAAGGATCCTCTAGTTCACCGCCATAAATCCAGCGCTGAAGCATTTCAAAGAACGGTCTAGAAACCTATTGGGATACAATTTTTTAATACTTTTGGTTATATAACAAGTGGTTTTAATATCAGCCACAAATAGATCACCTCTTCAAGCGTATTATTAATAAACTGCTGAATAAACGGATCTCCATGGTTTGTGTAATTATAGATCGTCGATACCAAGGCTCCACCTCGTACTTGCTTGCAACACTCCACCAATACGGACATCATCCGTAATTTTAACAAGGACTCTTGAGTCCATACAAATAAACGTTTCAATGAAGGTCCATGAGATTCAACTTGCTGACCATCCGCTACTTTCGCAACTTGTGCTTCAAGAACGGCAATGAATCTATAATATTCCGTCAGTTCACGTTGTAAAGCAGAACAAAAGGCCTGAAGGATTTCGTTAATCGTCCAACCTCATATTCATTGACAAAATTAGAATATTATAATCTGATCTGTACCTGACCAACCAGACCAATAGATGTATCATTCACATTTGTGTATACGAAATCATTTACACGTCGATAAAGCCATCCTAACTCCGAGAGTTGATGTAAAAGGCTACGGGTGGATCGGGTAATTTCGGCCTGTAATTTACTTGTAATTGTGTTTAAACCAACTTAATAAAATAGAAATAAATGTATTAAGCTATGCTCTTACCTTCGAATCGATGATATAAGACGAACTTTTATCATATTTAATATATTGCCCATCGATTCCTTGAAATATAAATACAATATCACGTAACAATAAAGCTTCAGGAATCTCGTTATCTTAAAATGAGAATTAAGTAGCTTTACAGTTATTCCATGTAAAACAAGCATAAATGCTGACTCTTAGAAATAAGCAGCTTACTACTTTCTAATGTTGCCAATTGCTTAGTTAGTATTGTTTTAGGTGGGAGTAGCTCCTTTTCTTTTGAATAATTCGAAGACTGTTTTGGTAGAGGTGATACATTCGGCACGAACCGATTTTTTAACTCTTCGGATTCTATAATGTTTTCTTTTTTCTTGCAAATGTTGATTAAAGCTTGATCTTCACGCTTCCTTTTTCTGCTTTCATT